TCCTGCTACCCCGTGGCCGTGACCTCGGAGCGGCGCTCCGTCTCCCCTGCTACCCCCGCCGCCTTCCTTCCGAGAGCTCTACTTCACGCCTCACCTTCCTTCCATTGTCTTTATAAGTTGTTGCTAATTATTCCTAATCCCGCCCCTCTGCTGTCCAACTGGCAGGAGCTGCAGTCTGCGCCCTTCTTCTGAAGCCTTCCTGCCGTCGCCTCCAGCCCACTCCCGGCTCTTCTACTAGTTCGCCTCCTCTTCACTTACATTGCCTGCCTCTTGCCGGGTTTTCTCTCCGCTTCACGTTTCCTCTACCACCCATATCTACCTGCTCCCAGCTCCAGTCGGTCCCCGTCGATCCAGCTCATTTAACCCCCATTGTCGTCGTTTCCTCCCTGCCGTCGTCTTGCCCTCCCCTTTGCGGCGCCCGCTTCGCCAACTGCATAAGTGCACAATCGCCTCGTTACAGTAGCGAGTGGGAGCTTCAGTGGAGAGCCTCGGAACTCAATCACAGTGCGGTGGCGTCAAACACAGCTCCGACAGTTCACCCAGCGCGCGCACTAATAGGACCGATGGAAGCAGGGTGTGTAATGTGTATGTTGATCGCTACGGAATCCGGGCTGCAGCCGACTGCCCGCTGGGTTGGGGGGGGGGGGTGTCGGGATGTGTAACTGAGTCGGCGAGTGTATTGTATTTGTATTGTATTTGTATTTACATTTAAGAGCGATCCACATACAAAGTTGTTGTGTCTGGGTTGTTTCTGGCTGAGTCTGGGTGTCTCTGGGATTTTGGTGTCATATCTTATCGAAATATCTGCTGACATCTGTATAAACAACGGTGAATTCTTCTCCTTTGTCAAAGGGAGCAATATGGACTGTTGATGAAGTGGATTAGCTGGAGGACCGTACTGTGGTGTGACCTATAGCCACTTTGATTGTCTGTTACCGAAGCAGACTGAAGTCAGGGTGAATATTTTGATTATCAACTCTGCATAAATATTTTTAATACATGATCAATAATCAATAATTGCATGATGACTACGATACAGTAACGCTGAAAATGGCTACCACAGCAGCCGCCACCACGCATAATCGAACACTAGAAGACTGGTAACATCGATCGTAGTCGACGCACTGCCCGTAGCACGGTGACGGTTCCACTGATAATTAGTAGCGCGATAAGGACAGTACCAGCGAGCTTTCTGTTTCATTATATAGGTACAGCTATGTTGTGTACCCTCTCGCAGGCCATAATTTGAAACGATTCATCTTCATATTACCTCATGTTTTCTGTATGGTCCATAATTGATTTACTGTTTGTGCGTCATTACTGGGATATTTAGGCTAGGCTGGATATTATTCATCACAGTTTTCCTTGTGGAAAAATATGCAAGTGCTTTTCATCATGAACATTTTTTTTTTACTGGAAATAATGGTTGCAGAGAGCGCTGATAACATCATTAGCCTGCCATTGATTGAGGGTGTTTACTGTTTGGCGTTTAACGTCCCCTGCCAACTTTTCGCGGTAACAAATACTAATCAAATGATCGCCTTGACATTTTCTTAGGCTTGTCCTACATCAATTTTACATGGTATATTTAAATGTCGCCTGAATTCATCGAGATTTTTTGAGTCCAGACTGATTTTGTGACGACACTGCATGCCTGTTCTTTCCAAAAAGTAGCATAACTTAAGTAAACGCCACCAGAGACGTCGCGTCTACCACGTAACAAAATGGCCCTATCGAATTAAAAAATCTTATTTTGCTGAATAAGTTTGAGGCTTGATTTTTTTCGATGCGTTTACAAAAAAAAGAGCATATATGATACTACTATGAGCGACCAAGTACCATGTCATTTTTCAACAATATTTGTTTAAAGTTGACTCCTAAATCGAACATCCCAATGTTGTCCACAATGATTTCTATTTTCAAAGTCATTTTTAGCAGCTACAAGCACCGAGCAAAAAAAAAAAAAAAGAAAACACACTTTTGCTTCCTCTGCTCAACTACGGCCCCGGTTATTATGGTTCCCGCCCTTCAACTGGTAATTATCCCGCACACTGAAAAGAAAGGCGAGAAGTGTGTGCGATATATGTAGCCTCGCGGCTTTCGCTGTCACACCAAATCATCATGGGAGGAGAAACTCCCCCTTCCGCTTCCAGCTCTCCACTCGTCATGCTGGTGACCTCGTCAGAACGGCTCGGAGATCGGTGGGAACCCTCAAACGGCACCGCTCCGTCACACGGCCGGTGGGCGACCCCCGACAAAGCCGGCCACTCTGTCAGACTGGCGCCGTCAGTGACCCGGCACACCAGTGCGCGGCCCACCGGGCCCGCACAAAGACTGGCCACATTGACTATTCGGCACGGACGGCGCCAGCTCTCCCGATGGAAGTGCACACTGCAAACTCGCGGCTTTGCTCATTGTCTGGTGTAGACTTTCGAGTGGCAGTGGCGTGAACGTGCTGAGAAAAGTTTCGGTTTTATTTCATTTCTCAAGTTTGCTTTTTCCCTTAACTTTGATATAAGCCCCCTGCTCTCCTACATAGTCAAACGCTGAACTAACTTCGCAGGAAGTTAGATCCTTTGTCTGCATTTTCTATATGTATATATTGTCGTGATAACATTGCAGAGTATTACGAAAGCTTGCATGTTTTTTTTAGAAGTGTTAAAATGCAATTGCAAATATGCATGCTTAAATCGATTTTATGGCTGCCATTTTTCATATGACATGTCAAAGGAGTACGAAAGAATCAAGTCAACGGGACAACTTGTCAAACAGTCTGAAAGGTGGAGAGGAGTTTTGTGAAAAAGGGTGCAACTGGACACTGCACGAAACTACTTTTCGCCACTTTTGCATTCTTGCATAATTAGCTGCTTTAGCAATATGAGCTCGCTTATTTTACGACGTGGGCGTCACGGGCAAGGTTGAAGAAGGATGTGTTACATGGTAATCAAAAAGGTCGTTTGCACATGGTGAAGAGAAATACACAGGATACGCCATCAGCCATCAGCATGATAAGCATGAAACATGCCGACGATGTCCTGTATAAACACGCCTGCCCTGCAGCCTGCAGCAGTCAGGCTAGCCGTTCGGTGTTTATGCAAATCTAGCCAGGCGATGAATCCCGATGAGTCCATGAGTACATACATAGATGCTTGTGTAGATAGATGCATGTGCATATGTACATTGTTGTTAAGTTTGAGCTATTTCGACGCCACGTATTTCAAAAGAGACGTTATCAGGAAACGTTGTTTGACATATATAAGAATTTGGTGGGCAATAATTTCGCTTTCGGGACAAAATACAATTTTGTTTTAATGAGTGCAAGAATAATCATTCATTACATGGCTTGTATGTTAAATGGGTGTGTAATAATTTTGACTGTTGACCGCAATTTTCACATTTAATTTCCTTCTGAAGGAATGCATGTTTTTGTTAGTGACACCATGACAGCGGGAATATTAATTCGCGCGTTTCTGAATCCTTTTTCAATTTTCTTCTGAGTGGTGACATATTTGACGATATTTATTAGCGAGTTGAGGTGGGCCATATAATAAAATGATTACTGTACGAGGTAGGGGCAATAAGAAACAAAAATTATTGCCCTCTGTGACGCCACTGTAACCCTCGGGCGAAAACCTCAGCTACGCCTCGGGCAATAAAGCATGGTTCGGTCTTCACCCTCGGGCTACAGTGACGTCACATCGGACAATATTTTTTTAGCATTGCCTGCTACCCCATACAGTATTCATATAATAGGTGACGAGATAACCCTCATGATTCATATGCATTATGCGCCCTATCCAGGTGCTCGCTAACCTTGATGGACGATGCACCGATTGTTTTTTTTTTAACCTTTTCTAGACGGGTAATACAGCTTTTCTACGCAAGAAAAACACTGATAGATACGTGGTATTCTCGGCATTCGCAAAAAAGAGTTGTCTTTACTGGTCTCCGCTCCCAGTAACATTTTCGGCTGCCATCGACGGCGTTGTGCGGCATCGCATCTCTCACCGACGCTGCGAGCTAGGAGCTGGAGCGTCGCAGCAAGCGAGATTCCACGTCCGACTGTATTGATAATGAAATGCTAGAGCGCCTAAAAAAATTATAGATGATATGCATTATCTGAGCTACCGATATGAGCGAGTTTTGTCACGACAAACATCTGTATATGATCAAATTACACTTGAACTCTTTACGGCAAATGTGAGACATTTAAATCTAGCATGAACTTTTCCCATACGCCGAGATATCCCTTTAGCATTATCCTAGCCGTGCGGGAAACATTTGCACGTGATCTTTCCTGCACTGTTTTCCGACACGGGTTGATGGCCTACAGTTCTGGTGATTTTTTAATAAAAATTTTAAAAAAGGTGATTTCAATAATTAAATTGTGAGTTTCTGAATAGATATTGAACGACGTATGGGAAATATCTTACTGAACTTGCTCTGGGAGGAAAAATGGAAACCTCGGTCTTCAAAAAATCTCCGGCACTTCTCCAACCTGTCTGAATAATATCTCTTCTACTAAACAAACAGACGGTAGCTGGAGCCTAGACTGTGCGGAGAACTGATGACCGCTAACGCGCGCCCTTGGCCCCTTGACGTCCTCCACAATTCACGCCGCTCGCGCAGTGGCCTCGGCTGTCGGCCCGACCGGGAAAACATCAATTGGACGCGATCGACGCTTCCTGCTGGGAGGGTCGAGCCGGCAGGGAACGCTGACTTATGGAGACATCGGTAGTCAGACTCAGTACCAACAATACCGACCAGCTTGGTGAGCTCTGCGAATACGTCCGACACGATGATGTTTGATGCTCACAGTCACGTTTGTCTGAGGCCCTCTGGTCGTTCGGATGTTCATTATGTGGAGTGGTCAATGGCAAGTGAGACTGGCTGGGGGGCGGCATTGCGCGTTAGGGTCACGAAGTGACAGGGCTGCTGGTGAGCAACCGACTGGGAACTGAATGGTAAAGTGATGGAGCGCGGTGGGGCGCTCAGCTCACCTGACCGTGACGGTGGTCCAGTGCCCTGTGTCCTGGGCGGCGGTGACGGTGTCGGTGACGACGGCGACGACGTCCGTGCGGCGGGCGGACGGGCGCGGCGGCGACTGTCGGTGCCGCGCGCCGGACCGACGGCCCGCCGCCGACGCGTCCGACGCGGCGGCGCAGTCGGCGGCGGCGTCACTCCGGCCCGGCTCCTGACCGTGAGCACTGCACGCTCCTGGCGCGGAGACAGTCTCGGGACTCGGGAGAGAGCCGGCCCCACTTCGGGACACATGGGCTTATCTGAATCCATCGCCTGACTAGATTTACCTGCACGCCCGAACGGCTATCATGAGTCATGAGCATGACTGCAGCGAGCAAGGTCATCCAGAACATCGTCCGCATATTTGCTGGTTATCATGCTGATGATTGCTAACCTGTCCTCTGTTGCTCTTCAATACGCAAACGAGCCTTTATATTATCATGCTGCCTACTGTCTGAAATATTCTTGCTATAAAAAGTAATTTATCTAATCTATTTAATATTTTTATAAATATATTTGATTTCAAAGTCTGCAGTTTTCTTTTCTCAGTTCCCAAGAGGTAAACAAAAGTTAAAGTGTAATATCTTGAAAACCAGCAAATATTTTTCGGTGAAATTTGGTGGATTTTCGTTTGTGCTCTTTCTTAACCGAGAGACATCGCTTTTATGCCAATTCATTAGCTTTTTTGAAGGTGGGAGGGTCCCTTTAAGTGATAAACTTCTGACACCCACTCATTATTTTTTTTTTCATCGCGGCCCCTCGCCGCTATTTTTTTGTGGTCATCCGCTTAGGAACAATTCAATTGTCTATCAATCTGTTGTCTTTATCTTCTCCTTTATGTGTCCAGCGATGTGCGGCAGGCCGATTATCGGGCCTCCCTCTGACAAAAGAGACCAGTCCGTCGCATGAACCGGACGACAGCATCCGTGTCTCATGTCTTGTCTTTGTCTCGCGGAGTCATGCCGCAGCTAAGGTCTATCAACAGACATTCAACAATCGCAGCCCGAGGGCTGGCAAGTGTAATCCACCTGTTCACCTAGTCATCGCCCCATGTCCACTTGGTCACTAACTCAATATCCACCACTACCAGCGTTCACCGGTGGCCCCCTGGTTCCGTCCGTCAATACTGCGCCGTTCGGTGACCCTCACAGCGTCCCCTGCCCATGTGTTCCGCGATTAGTGTCGGATGAACGCCACTGAAATGGCAGACTGTCGTTTGTTCTAGGCGATCGTAACTGGGTTACCTATGGAGTTTACCGGACCCGAACGGCGCAGCGAGTACGCTTGCGGCTGGACGAAGTATTTGCAACTGTCGCTGCATGCTAAGGGAAATCAGAACACCGAGGACATGACCGCCCGCGAGAGAGACCGATCTGCTCATGATTCATTCGCATATGGTAAATGCGCATTTGTCTGCAAAAAAAGTGACCAAAGGTGGATTGACCTTGACTGATCGCAGTCACCAATGGCCTCCAACATCACAAACTACAGGGTTCAATTGTATTCTGAAGTACGCGTTTTGAAACCAGTATTAAAAACAACTGGATAGGATCGCCGATCGGATCTGCGAGATGTCGTGGAGTGTGTGGCATGCGGCAGTGACGCCCTGGCTGCCGCCATCCACCTGCAGCTGACGTTCAAACACGGCTAACGAGGGGTGGGTCAACAGGCGGCCGACAGCCGGGGTCCGCCGGCGCTGTCGGCGACGTCTCCGCCGGGTCACACTCCGTCGGACCCGGCGGCCGCCACCCGGTCAGGGTCACGAGGTCGTCTTTAGTGGCCGGTGCCGCACCGCGGGAATCGCTAGCGGTTCTTGTGCGGCGCTGGGACGGTCCTACTCCTGACTCGGGGTGGCGTGTGTTTTGGTCCCGTGGGTTGCGGGCTCTGACCGCTCGCACCAGCACATTACGTATTTTTTTTTTCAGATACTTACACAAGCGAGCTTAACCCGCGCCCCACGGGGGGGGGGGGGTGGGGGCTATTTATAGCCCCCCTCCCGTTTTTCTGCAATAACTTCCAAACCACTTGACGTATCGACGCCAAACTTTCAGTACCTTCGGCTGCATCAATTTGACACCTTGTGTCAAAATTTGAACTTCGTACCTACCATAGGTCGGCCGGAAATGACGTCAGAGTGACGTCATGTTCGGCCGATTTCGACGCAAAACATTGAACCACGGCAATCGCTCCCAAGAGCTCAGTTTTTAAGCTAGATCCAATTTCTTTGCATGAGAGGACTCAGAATAGACTGCGCTATCAAACTGCTATCTCGGATTTTCGAAATTTTGAAAATTTCGAAAATTTCATATAATAAGATTCAAAATTTATATTTTTACATTTTTTCTTTTTTTTTGTCTTTTCGAAAAAAACGGAATATATGTGAAAGAACGCATTATTATAACTAACTCTAGCAAGTTTTAGCTAAATATCTTCAAAAATGGCCAAGTTATACGCATTATTGCAAAAAATAAACAATTATTAATTTTTCAAATCAATTTTTCAGCTCGAATTTGACATCTAACGCCAATATAAATAGCACCATCGTGTTCCTGAGCTCAAACTGCATCCAATAGACACCTTTTTGTTGAAAATTTTAACTTCAAAATTTGACCTTTTTTGACCTGAAAGTGACCTGACCTAAGCTAAATTTCACTCAAAATGACCTCGAATTAAACAGACGACATCAAATTCGAAAAGTTTGGCCTAAATGGACCATAAAACATGTGTCACGTGACCGACGGATGATATAATATTTTCGTGACCTGTGATGACCTGACCTTGACCTGAAAATCAAAGTACAAGTTTGGTACCCTCAGAGTATCTAGAGCATCTGTTCACGAGTGTGTGAACCAAAAATGAGCCTGATCTGACTTGTAAGACGGCGGCCAGAGCCCAAAACGTGAAGAAGCCAAAATGCTAATAATTTTTACTTGACCTGACCTGTGACGTCAATGAAATTAGGTTTCGCTCGACAGTTTTTCCGGGGCTATCAGACGCCGTTTGAATTTTGACGATCGGCCCAGTAGTTTCGGAGTTAGGAGGGGGGCTATGAATAGCCCCCCCAGTAGGGCGTGTTATACGCAGACCCCAGTGGGGCGCGGGTTAATATGGTGAACTGGGTGGTCCCTTTTTTAGGCTCACAATGTTTATCTTCATTTATTTTTATTTTTTTAGGGGACGGGGACGCGAAATACCATCCGATGAGTGATAGTAACGGCCAACGGGTAACGGAGAGAATGGGATGATCCGACAGCAATGAACCTTGAAAGTGTTGACTATGAGTTTTAAGGGTGCCCGTACTGCGTTGGTCATAGTCGACGTCCGATTGCAAACCTCAATCAATTATTTTGACATTGCGTGATTAATAATGTTTCAATGCGCTTTAAACATCGTACGAACAATATGTTTTGTGATGAAAAGGAGAGACCATACATTCTTTTCGCCGAAATAATGCTGCTGATTAGAATCAACGTTTCTGCTCTATTGCACTGTCCTTATAGGAGAGTCCAGGATGTCGTCCGTCGCATGCTGATGAAGTTGGGGCTATTTCGGTGACAGAGAACTTGTTTTGGGCGCGCCGTTGCTCCGTTCACGGCTCGGTGCCCCTCGTTCAACAGGGCCGGTCCGGCGGGCGGCCGCGGCATTGGCGTGTTTGTCCGAGAGCTTTTACGGTCATTCCGGCCATTTCCAGGCAGTTGAACCCCGAATTTCCTCGTATACGAGAAGTGGTGTGGTTGTTGTCCGTGCAGTGTGGGCGTGAGTCCGTCGTTCTTTTCTTGCTAAAAAATAACCTAGCAATATGAGTATGCAAACGAAAATCAGGTTGCATTAGGTCTAAATAATTTACGTACAGTTTCGAAGTTTCCTAGTTCTGCATTATCCGGTGATAAGTTCCCATATAAACCGACGACCTCAAGGCCATGTTCAGTCGTTTCTTGGCTTTAGGGTGGTTCAAGACTCATAACCTGCAAACTTTGGTGGTTTTGGTCGCATTGGACATCATATTATGAATCCAGGTGATGCTCGCTAACCTCTGCGTAATTAGTGTTGTTAGCCACCAAATATTGCTGCGGCAGACCGATGTCGTTAGTCCTGATGACCCTCTAGACATTTCTTTACTGCACGACCTCTGGCAGGTGTTTTGATTTGCTTTGATGCAAGGCACAGATACATTAGCTAGATAAATTTTGTTGCGCTTTTAGTCGGCATTATGCTACCGTGTTTTCACCCTTGTACATAGAATTGAAGAGTGACGGTGAATTTTCAGCTTTGTTTGATAACAGTGCTAGAAAATTTGTATGTGATTCCAGTGCTTTGGCAAAGTGATCCATATCCGATGAAAATGCTGTTTTCCATGCTATCGCTGCCTGCGTTGACGCCGCTTTGCTGTGTGGTTTTACTACAACTGTCAGTGCTCCTTCCCCTCAGTACTTGACCCCATCCTCCAGTCGGGTGATGAAGTCGAACCTCCCATTCCGTGCTTTGGAAACCCTTTATGCAGCCGACAGGCGCCGCGGTCGCTGTTTGAACCTCAATTTCCGGCAGTGGGGCCGTCAAGACCATTTACCTTTTCCGACATCAAATAGAGGTAACATTTAATGTCCCTAAACTGCCCCGTTTCCGTCGATAGGCGACCCAATGCTTCTGTAACATGCACACAAAGTGGTCACCGTGACCACGGGCAACGGTTACGGTCGGGTGGCTCGACCTGTCGCGGGGCCTGCCGCTCGTCACCCCTGCCCCCCCCCCCCCACCTTCCCCAGACGGAGAAGGGCAGCAGCGAGACATGGTTCAGGCGCGGAACGTTGATAGATGCTGGGTGTGCTGTGCCCATTAACTGGTTGTGATATTAATGTTTGACATCACCACTTCCCCAGCCCCATCCTTCATTGACAACGATCTACTGGCTTAACCCTATTAGTGGCAGGGGGGGGGTTGTTTTCATCCACCCCTCAGGTTTTTCGGGAATATCTCCGAAACCGCTGAAGCTACGATGCTGAAATTTTCTGACTTTTCCTAAAACTAAATTGGGCACATTCCCTGAAAATTTCAAGTTCATAACTTTACCAAGGGCGGCTCCAGAGCACTGGGAATTGGGGGGTCCTATTCGTGAAGCGAGTCATTTGGGCGATGATCACGATGCTGATGTATTATAACTGTATGCACCAGTTTTAT